TGGGCACAGGTAGGTTTCACTGCAGAGTGGCACAGGTGGGGGCACTGCTGGGCACAGGTGGGGGCACTGCTGGGCACAGGTGGGGGCACTGCTGGGCATGGGTGGGCGGGGCTAGTGGGCGCACTGCTGGGCACCGATCATCAGGGCACTGATCATCAGTGCCCTGATGCTCGGTGCCGATCCCCCCGCTCTGACAACTGCCGGTTCTCGGCAGTACTTTCCTCACGATCTGACAGCGTGAGGAAAGTGCAGCCGAGAACCGGCACTTGCATTTTCCTGTGATCAGCGTGTCATTGGACACCGCTGATCACGTGGTAAAAGGCCGGTGGGATCGGCCTTTCAGCACAAAATGATCAGATCCTGTGTCCGTAGGACACAGGATAGGTTAAGGGCAGGTGTGCCTGGAGGAGCCCATGACGTCCACCCAGAACTTAAAGGTACAGGGCAAGTGGTTAAAGGTACAGGGACACACGTGACGCCCAGCTACACCAAAATGACAGCCAAGGTATCCAGTGCATCCTGCATCCAAATGATCGAGCTGCACAGGACATGGCAACCGTCCCAACCTATAATCAGCCTTGTCAGTAAGGTGCACATGGAAGGGCCTCATGTCCTACCCCCCTTCCTCCCAAAACACACAAATCAGTGCTGACAGCCATTGGCTACGAGTGCTAATTGAATGCTGGTTTTCCAGCATGTCCCTTCAACAAAAACCGATCCGTACACCGGAATCTGTTGGAAGGACAGCTGTACACGCAGTCCGAATGTCAGCCAGTTCCTCTTGAACTGGCCAATATTGGGATTGTATGCGCCCAGCTTAAATTCTCAGTCTTTGACAGTCTTTAGTGGGATTACATAGAATAAATATTATACACTGATGAAAGTGCCCAGTAAGTTAATTGGTCAAGGACGTCCAGACTGGTGTATACTTTTTACCTTGTGGTATGGAGGTACCCTGAATAGTGAGACCAAATCCACAATCAGCATGGTCATAATAGTAAGTACATTTCTAGTGCATGATTGAATTAAATGAGCGATTGTATATTTTTGTAATTGTATTGGTTGGCCCATTACTACATGTTAGGCATATGGCGGCAACAACTACAGCTGGCAGTGTGCTTCCATATAGATTACCGGACATGTTGGCTGTGTGTTGGAAAATACCACTTCCCACAATACCGCAGTCGTTTTACAGCTGAACCTCAAGCAGATAAACACAAATTCCCACAAGTATGTGTTCATTGAAGAAAATGTAGAAGCATTTTTTTTTTTATGGTGGTTCTTCAAAGGTGAGTATAAGGGAGGAAAGGCCAAGGCTGTCTACGTATGAATGTGATCTGTACTTCTGAGCAGTACATGGTTTTGTCGGTTTTCTTTCTTCGGTCCGCTCTCTGTTGTGGTACGGAATAGAAATTTGTGCTTCGGTGTAAGTTGTTTTGTACTCAGTCTTCATTAGTTGTACTCTGCCAGAAGCAGAATGTTTCTATTTTCTATGATGGCATTTAGTTGTGTGTGCATAATGAAAAGGTTAATAAGCACACATGCTGGAGTTAAAGAAAGAGAGCATTTTTGCAGGAGTTCGCTGATCAGACCTTGTTCACGCCCCACTTACTCTATCATCGCCGTCTGCGCACTGTTCCAGGGGGGTGGCTGGTTTGGCTGCCTACACTGACCACCCACTACGACAAGAGCTCAGGCTAACGTCTGCATTAGCCACCAGCGTTCAGTCCGAGCCACTGATGTTCCTCCCCCCTGCAGCCATCCTGTTCCCCTCTTCTCTGTCGGTTCCTATCCATCCTCTCGCTCCACTGAGCCCTTGTTTACCATAGCCTGGCATGTAATTACAGAGTAAAAAAAAATTCCAACGGCAAATGACTTTGGATCTCCCAGCATGGAAGGTGGATTCCCCAGCTTGTACGAAAAGTACAGCAGGTGCCAGAGGGTTTTGTTGTATGTGAATCAACCCCTGATCCCCAGATGTATCTTAGCAGTTGTTTTAATTGTTCAGGGTAGGTCTTTTTTTAAAGCTCACAGTATGACTTTGTAATGGATAATCTTTTAGAAAAAAATCTTCACAGCAGGATAGAAATCAACTGATTTTCGTATTGTGAGAATCTGTGTTTAATGTTTTTATGTTAGAAACCGGAAATACATGTTACTGCCACTCTGCAAATGTAGACTCTACCCTGAATGTATATGGGATCAGTCACCATCCTCTTTTCTACTGAATTGTTAGGCTTTTGGGTATTGCAAGAGTGAGGTTGAGATTTTAGGTCACAGAACCTATGGGCCTCTGATGTCTTTAGAAATGACTCTAGTTGTTATCATTATCACAATTGGTAACCAAACGCCATACAAAAACATTTTAGAAAATGGTGCGCCTTTTTTATGTTCCAAAGTTACATTCTTGGTGCTTGGGTCTTAGAGGTGGTATCCTGGGGTTACATGCTTGAGTTTTGTTTTCTGACTTCTCCTTGCTTTCTCACCTCCAATGTTCTGGTATCTTCATAGCATCTGAGCAATATCCATTGTGCGTCATCTGGACCCTTCTAAGAAGGGGTCATCACTGTTCCCAAGCCTAAAAAGGACATTTGTCCCAATCAGGGCCTCAAGCCTTAAATGCTTTATATTTGTTTCTACAAATTCTGGAAGGAATCAATAAGATCTTGTTTTGCTCCTCTGGCCTCAGTTGACACAAAGGATGATTATTTACGTGTTCATCTTTCTAGCACATCAGTGCTTCCTATGCTATCCTGCACTACTAGTTTGTGGCCCTTCCATTCAGCTTTTCCTCTGCACCTCTGGTGTACACCAAAGTGCTGGCTCGGTGTTGGCCTCCTTATACTCTTGAGATATCATGATTTTGGGCTATCTGGATGATCTCCTTTTGAGATAAAACGTCGGTAAGGCCTCTGTAGGACAGTGTGCCCCTAACTGTCCAGATGTTGGAGAGGTTTGGATGGATCCTGGCTCTGACCTATTTCTTAGAATATCTAGGATTTTTTCCTGGACATTTCCCAGTCCAGAGTATTCCTTCTACAGGAAAAACTTCCAACTCTCCAGGCTCAGGTTTGAGTGCTCCAGTCCAGGAACCATCTGAGTCTTTTGCTTCTACATAAACGTCCTGGGTCAAATGGTGGACTTCTTTGAGGCAGTTCATTTGCCCAGTTCCATTTAACAAATCTGCATCATTCTGTCATCATGGTACAAGTCAATCCTGTCTCTGGACAAAAAGCTTCACCAGGCTGTCTCGGTGGCTTCGATCTGATTCTGACCTCATGGAAATCGTTTCACCCTGTGCTTTAGGAGATCCTGACAACAGATGCCAGCCTGTCAGGCCTGGTAGGAGTCCTAGACATGGTGTTGGTGGAGGGAATTTGGTTGCCAGTGGAATCTCCTCTCTCAAACATCCTCACAGTTCAGGCAATTAGGTTCTCTCTAGCATTTGATTGACTTAGTATCAGGTTATCCAGTTGAGGTTCAGAGAAAGTCTCACTGCGGCACTACATGCACAAGCACCTCAAAATGCCTTCTGAAGTCTGAGTGCTGTGGGACACTTTAATATGCAAGTTTCAACATTTCCTGATAGTGTGAAAAACTGACCCACTTTCCTCCAGAACCTTCATATTTAGTTACATAGTTAGTCTGGCAGAAAAAAGACAAAAGTCCATCCAGTTCAACCATAAAATAAAAAAAAGTTATAATCCTATACCCACAGTTGATCCAGAAGAAGGCAAAACCCCAAAGCATGATCCAATTTGCTCCTGCAGGGGAAAAAATTCCTTCCTGATCTCCTGAGAGGCAATCGGATATTTCTTGGATCAGCTTTACCTGTAAATGTTAGTATCCAGTTATATTCTGTGTATCCACAGAACCACAGACCCCAAGCCGGTCCTGCTGTTTGTCCCAGGTTCTATTCTATATTGGGTGCACAGTAGCCTGGCACACAGCAGGTTTTCTAGTCTCTTCAAACAATAACTAGGTGGAAGGTGTCTTTTTAGGTCTTATTGTTGAAGAACTTGGATAGGAAGTAGAATGAGCCTTGGGAGTCTCTCTGTCTATCTCTCTCTCCCCCCCCCCTCTCCCCCCCCCTCCCTCTCCCTCCCTCCCCCCCCCCCTCTCCCCCCCCCCCCTCTCTCCCCCCCCCCCCCCCTCTCTCCCTCTCTCCCTCCCCTCCAGGCAAGATCCTCAGCAGACTTTCTCCAGACTGTTCTCTCAGCTTCAGCAATAGCCACCCGCCTCCCCAGCTCTCCCTGAGCTGGGACCTTGATGAACCTCATTCAGCTAGGTAGCTTAGGAGGGTAGACAGCCCCTTCAGGCAGGGGCAAGGACCCAGCTGTTTTAGGCCCCAGACTATTTATGCACATCTCAGCCCCTGCTGGTCACCCTCCCTAAAATGGGTTGACTGAGGCTGCATGAATATTCAGCCCATGGCCTGCCTCTTCCAACCCACTATGTTCCAGGTCTTTCCAGAATACAGGGGGAAGCAGTTGAGCTTGCAAGCAGCAGAATCCAGAACAGCCAAAAGCAATCAAATCCTGCTCCTCTGACTACAGAGGAGCCGAAAACTAAATTTACTTAATCCTTTTAACAACCTAACTGGGAGAGTGCTTCACATTAATATAAATCTAAATATTGGCCCATCACTTAGATATGTGGCTCTCTGGCCCCTCAGAAAGATTATGGTTGAACTAGATGGACTTGTGTCTTCTTTCAGCCAGACCATGTAAGATTCGAATATTCAGGTTTTCAAAGGATCTCATCGCACTTCTGAAAACACGTTGAGATGCATGTAGTTGGATTGCATTTTAAAGTGATTCTAAATTAAATTGTTTTTTTTATAAAAGTAAGTAAGAAAGTAAGGCCTTGTATCTTTTGAACCACTCGCAGACTTCTGAAGGTACCCTATTTCCCCAAAAATAAGACCTAGTACTATTTTTGGGAATTGCAAACGTATAAGACCTACCCCGAAAATAAGACCTAGCTGTGATCAGGGCTTTTATTCAGCCGGAACATGGCGGAATGGCGTTCCGCCACCTCCTCACTGGCCCTGTGCACACCAAAATCTGTCTCTTATAAACACAGAAGCTTGGCTTTTGTGTTTGCAAGTGACAGTCCCTCTTGTGACAGCACCATCCACTCCCACAGAACCTCCCTACCTCTGTACTCACCATCCGCTCCCACAGAACCTCCCTACCTCTGTACTCGCCATCCGCTCCCACAGAACCTCCCTACCTCTGTACTCACTGTGGGACAGGGAAGGAACAGATATATGCGGGCGCAGTATGCAGTGTGTTTAGGGGCGGGGCATCTCTTCCTGCAGCCTAATGCATGGAAGTCGATGTCCCGGGGGTGAT